TCACAGCGCCCCTAGAGGACAGAGTGGAACTGCCCCACAGGGTCTCCAAGGCTGTCAGTCTTCACAGAAGCAAAGCCCAAGCCACACCCACTGCCGTGGAGTCTATTTTGACCCACAGCGCCCCTAGAGGACAGAGTGGAACTGCAACACAGAGTTTCCAGGCTGTCAATCTTTATTGGTGCAGACTGCCTCATCTTTCTCCAACATAGTGGCTGGTGAGTTCGAACCTTTTCGTTACCAGCTGAGTGTTTTAATCACTGTGCCACCACAGCTCCTCAGTGTTCAGTAGTCCATGAAAAATCAGCTTCCCCTCTCCCCAGTGCAGTCACCCTATGCAGGCCACATGTGGATCCCTTGGGGAGGCGGGGAGAAAGACTCACAGTGCACATTTCTGGCAGGGTGGAGAGGTCCTTCCTTGAAGGGACTCAGTCTCCCCTTCATTCAAGGGCTCTGGGGGTCGATTTGGGGTCCTGACTCAGTTTTGGGGATTCAAGTTAGATTCAAGTTGGCCATTCACTGACTAATTCTCCTAACTGTATAGACCAAGTCAGCACATTGTGGACCCCCTCCTATTTCACTTCCAAGGACCCCAGGAAGGACTGGCCCACACTGTGGTCTCCACAAGTCAGACTGTTCCAATCAGCACTTCAACCCAGCTGTCCACTGCAGTCACCATGTCCACCTTACCTTTGGTGCTAAAGGCTGTGGGCTGGGGTCAGCCCTGCTCAGAGCCAGGCTTGAAACCCCAGACTCAGCTTCTGGGCACAGGAAAGACAGCAGGGACAGGTGGGGAGAGGGAAGAGGGGCGTCTCTACCAAGGGGTGGGCATGAGGCCAACACGGCTGGTCTGAGCTGGAAGGACCTTGGTGGCACAGTGGTTAAAGCACTCGGCTGCAAACAAATAGTTCAGTTATTTGAACCCACCAGGCACTCCACAGGGGAAAGACGAGGCAGTCTGCTTCTGTAAAGACTCTGGGGCAGTTCCACTCTGTCCTCCAGGGGCGCTAGGAGTGGGAATTGACTCCA